GGGAGAGGGTGAACCCTTATCAGCTAAGGGTTCACCCTCTCCCTCATCCCTGGGGTCTCCTATACCCCCCTTTCATCGCCTTCATCACCCCCATTTTCCCCACCGAAGATGAGGAGGATGAGGATGAGGATGAGGGTGAGGAATGGATGGTGCATTTGAATTTCCAACACTTCGAGAAATGCCGATCTAGCTATGCCGCGCACGTCTTCCTCCTTACGTTCTTCGGGCTCTTCAATGAACGTGAGAATATTGAACGGAAACACAAGCAGTCCGGCCTGGAGGGGTAGACATGTAGGCCCCATTAGGCCGGCAGGTTTTGAGGTGTGTCAAGTCTTCGGTGGCGACCGACTACAAGCAATTCCAGGTACTACCGAATCGAGTCTTATCGCCGGCTTGCGCGCCGTACAAAAATGGAGTCGTACGGTCGATTTTGATGACGTCATAGATCAGTCTTGGCGCCTTCTAAGTTGTATAGGATGATTCAGCGACGCGGCACTGCAGAATTTGCAGCACGGACGATGGCCAGTCTTGACAGTCGCAAAGAAGACTCAAAGATCGCTCAATATTGTAGGGAGCCTATCCTTGCTTGCTTGTTTATGCATCTTTTCACGTGCTGTAAAATGCTACTAGCATCCATTCTTTAAACGTGTTCTGATGTTAGCAACAATCGTTGCAAATTTCCATAAAGAATTGCGCAATCGGCCGGGTTACTTTACTAAGTTTGCGGCCACCCTTATATAGAAGCTGCTGTATTGAGCCTCTCGATCCAAAAAGTTGTTTGGCATTGCAGGCTTTTTGAGCTCCCAGTGTCGGCCGGCCGACCGAAGTGAAAATTCGGGCCGTAGCATTGATCATCGCGAACGGTGCAGTGTTCAAATCTCGACACTAGCAATTTTACCAGGGACCGGTTGTGAACCTGAACTTTGATGAGGAAAATGAAGCTTTTCATCATGTGAAGGATGAAATGATGAATATCTGAATATGAAAATGAAGGCTAAAGTTGTTAAATCTACAACCACATTGGTACTTCGTGCGTATGGCATGACCAACATGGTCGAAGCAATTTGCAGACGCTCAATTCTGATGTGTACCCTCACCTTACCCTCAGCACGACGAATTTCACCAGACGAAGTCTTGTAGGTCATTTTGGTAGGCTTGATCTTAAGCCATACCAGAATTGTCAACGGTTTCTTGGGACATCCCAGAAAAGTGCTCTCCCGCCGGTTGCTGCTCTGCCTTCTGGTTCGTAGGGAGTAGCACCGGAATCGAGCTGGATCTTCATGCGAACACCTTCAATGTCGGCATAGATTTGAGTCCGAAGAGGAAGAGGCGGAGCATCATGCCGCTCGATCCTTGCTTGAAGTACCAGACTCGGACTCGACCTCAGAGTGTAGATAACAAGAGTCAGACAGCTGGGGAATGTTGTCAGACGGAGAGGAAACGTCAACCGCAACAGCGAAGCAATTGGCGGCATTGCCTTTTCTACCCAAGGCGGACGAACAACTTTCTTTTGCTCCCGATCATGAGACAAAAGCTTGTCAATGTAATGATGCATATCAGTCCGGAGGTGCTTAA